GAAGGAGAAAAAAGTCTCCATGTTAAGGAATCAGAATTTGGGTCCTACACATCAGATCTCATGGAGAGCAGACAGTGCTCTATAGAGGGGCAGCAAGATTGAGTGATTTCACTCACAGCTGCAAGCCAGTAACAAACCCTAACCTGGTCTGGCCACACCTTGCCACATGGCCTCAGGGAAGAGGTCATCACCTGTGCCTGCTAAAAGAGGGGAGCTGCAGGCACAATACTCAAGGCTCATTATCGCTGCACTGCTGCAGCCTCCCCTCCCCTGCCCTGCCTCCCACTGACTTTTCCTCCTGAATTGCTTGGACTTGAATCTCCAGTGCCAGGCAGCCCTGTAGTCTCCCTCAGAGAGCCGAGCGCCATCACCCTGCAGCCTGGCCACCCACCGTGGCACCAGCCTAACCCCCTAACACTTGCCTTCCCTTTCTTTTCTGGGTGTTCTTGAAAGGTATTTGTGGAATTCCTCATTGGCTTTTATCAGCAGGGCCTGAGCTGCCTTGCCTTCAGACCTGCTCTGTCTGATCTAGGAAGAGATTCAGGTTTCACACTGGCAACAGATTTGAGGTCTGCACTTCAGTACTACTTGAGCACAGTGCTCCTGCACCCAGGGAAGAAGAGGGGCCATAATTCAAGGCAATGTATTTACCGCAGGAAAGGGCAGAATGCACAGTTACCCAGCCAGTCAGGGGTACCAAAACAACTACACCCCCTGGAATTAGGGCTTGTCTACCCGGATCGGCGGGTAGAAATCGATCTCTCGGGGACCGAATCGATGCGCATACTCCACCAGCCCAGGTAGGAGTAAGCGCCGTCGACGGGGGAGCCGCGGCGGTCAATTTGCCGCCGTCCTCACAGCGGGGTAAGTCGGATCAGATATGCAAATTCAGCTACGGGAATAGCATAGCTGAATTCGACGTATCTGAAATCGATTCCCCCCCTGCCCCGTAGTGTAGACATAGCCTCAGACTGGTAGCCAAAAAAACTCAATATCCTCTCCACCTGCAGTTACCCAACTTACCCACCTCTTCCCTGCCTAGATATTGCACATGCCTCTTTTCTCACAGACAAACTCCCACTCAAGGGGGGCTCTGCAACAAGCCCCTAGTCCCCTGCCCTTCATTTATTCATCCCTGACCCATAAAGGCCACCAAACCCAGAAAGGCTAATCTAGAGTCCTTATGGCTCTCATAACAGGGTGTCAAAAAACCTCCCAAGCCCTGAAACAGCAGGTCAGGATGGGGCCACTAGAGTAGCATGAGGCAATACTTTCTCCCTTTGCCCTGTCCCCTAGTCCTAGCCATCTGCTGGTCTGAATACAGACAGACAAAATTTGGTCTCCCAGTGGATGATCCAACAGAGGGCACCCCAGGACATTTCCTACTCCTGTTCCTTTCCCAATTTCTTCTCTAGCTGTTCCTTCTCTTTTCAGGCTCCCTCCTGTTCCAGTTCCTCCCCTTCTCCCAGGATCGGCCCTGTGCGCCTGAACAGAGTTTGCAGAAGAGATGTGATCTTGGTCAGTTTTACGCTGCCACTGGGAAGCACTGTGTGCCGGAGACAGGCAGCAAGACAAGGAGCTGTGCCCTGAGCCTAGACCAGAATAGCAGAGGGACTACAGGCCAGGACAGAGGTGCATCAGCAGGGCCAAGTGGTGTCCAGGAGCGGAACAGCAGCTTTAGGTGGGTGAAGTTTGCACAACACTTGCCCACAAGATGACTGGCTCAAGCAGTTCTAATGGACATTAAATCAACTGTTTGAGAGGGGGATAATTAAATGTTTAAAGCTAAACTTTGCTGCCCAATAAACAAAAACCAACCACGCTTCTGTTTAGTGAGTTGGATACTCTAACAGTTTGCCAGTGATCTCTCTCTACTGAACTGTGAGCACCTGGAAGCAGACACATTGTCCAATGTGACTGTAAAGTGCCATGTGCAATTATACTGCTCTATACAAAAACAAGCCTGACAAGCTATATAGCACCTCTCATTTCTGAGCACTCAGAAGTATCACTTCCCTTCTCTTACCAACCCACAAAAAGGCAGCCACCTCTGGGGGGAGTGAACTGACCTGAAGCACACAACGGCTCTATACAACAATTCAAAACTGAACTGAAGACCTTCAGTTATCCTTGAGGAGAAACCAGAACAAAAATCCTGTTGCTGTTTTCACAGCAAGTTGGGGAAACGGTGCGTGTGAGAGGAAATCAAAGGAAACAGAAAACTGTACTGTCAAGGAGGGCTGCACATCTTGGACATCAACCTGGGAGATACTCAGGGCTTGTCTTCACTACCCGCCCGGATCGGCGGGTAGAAATCGATCCCTCGGGGATCGATTTATCGTGTCTCGTCAGGACGCGATAATTGATCCCCAAATCGACGTGTGTACTCCACCAGCCCAGGTAGGGGAGCCGCGGCGGTCGATTTTCCGCCGTCCTCACAGCGGGGTAAGTCGGATCAGATACGTCGAATTCAGCTACACTATTCCCATAGCTGAATTTGCATATCTGAAATGGATAGCCTCAGACTGGAAATGAGACAGTGGGAGCCACTGTACTCAGCATTGAGAGATTATTTAGATGCCTCCATATGGACACTAGAACCTAACTTTAGGCACACACTCATTATGAAAATCTTAGCCAGGGATTCACCTATCCCGCAGGGGAGCTGGGGCAAATGGCCAGTGCAGCACTCCGAGATCCCCACCAGCCAGTTGCTACAGAAGTGCAGGGCTGTGTATATCGTGGCAGAGAGTCACAGAACTTTAGACTCTTTAGGGAGATCGTTACTACACAGGCACAAAACATTTTCATCATTTTGAATGTAGTCATTCAGAGCTTCTCACACTTGCATGCACTGTGCACTATACAGCACTGCAGCGAGCTATCCACAAGTCTGCACCCTCACTTCCTTATCTACGGAATCATGGGACTGCACAGTTCCACTCTGCACCACTCAGGGGCACAGAATTGACTTGGGCAGTCCCTTGGTATCACAGGAGCAGGTTCAATCTTCTGTTTATGTAAAGGAAATAGTTGGGTATTAATATATTTCTTTTGCCTTTAACGGCTGCAAATTTACACTTTCAAGAGTGAGGAAATGTGAAAGATACGCTGAACATCCTTAACTCCCAATGGAGTTCCTGCATAGTGCAATTACTAGTTAGGCTTATGCAGTGTGCCTCCAAATTAAGGGGCTGATCCTCTAGCCTTAGTTTGCATGAGATGGCTAACAGAAGCCAATGAGGCCACTCACCACATGTAAACAGGCTGCAGGATGAGGCCCTTGTTAAAGCACCTTCACTCTTCTGCTTCCTAATGCTTAAGTTTGCAGCCTATTGCATTCAGAGTGTTTGACACCCAAGATTCCCAGTTTGCACTGAGAGAAGTTCCCCGTAGTGTTGCATTTGTGGATCGCTGTCATGCAGTGTCCTCACCTCCTGCTCTAATTCACTGGTAGCATACATGCACACAGACAGTCTCTGCCACATTAGCATAAAGGGCATGTTGAAACATTTTCCTTTCCTAGCAGGTTAAGCTACAATTTGCTCTGTAGACAAAAGCTCTACAGCAGAGGGAAGAGGTTACTCAACCCCTGAGAGGAAGAGAGGGCGGAAATGCTGAGAACATCTTGTGATACAAAAACCTAAACTGAAAACAGTTGCAAACAACACTTTGAGAAGTCCATTGAAACAGCACACTGTGGTAAACTTAGCATTTCAAAGCCACATGGCACCATAATATCTAGCAGAGCAGTGTCATGAGGAAAAAAGTTTCTAGGGAGAACACTTACAATAAGGCAGATAAACCCAGGTGAAAAATGCTAAGATCCAACACAGGAACACAACAGTATTTGTGTTTTACAGACAGGGTGCCAACCACGCAGCCTAGATAGCAATGAAGTCACTGAAAACTCATTTTGAGTCAGCTGGATATTGTTTTCCACTGATTGTTGGTATGAAAAAATTCTAAAACCAGCATGTGTGTTCAGGGACTGGTTGTTGGGATGAGAGTTGTTCTCTGATTTCTGACAGTTAAAAAATAATGCAGAACAAAGCAGCCTGGAGATGGCCTGAAATCAAATAAAGCCCAGGAAATGTGATGCCGTTCAGAAGTCTGGATGTGGACAGCGGAAGCACTGGTAAGTCCAAACTAGAGGGCTCACATCTACTCACAGCCAGGACAGGGACCTGGAGATCACTGTCCGTCAGGGAAGAGCCCCCCACTCCAGGACCTAGGGACCAGACCTCCACCATCCTGCACCACACATGGCTATTCATGCCAGAGCAAGCTGGGGGCGGAGGGTTCTACTTCCGCTGAATCCCAGTGCAGTAACTGGGAGTGATAGAGCAGACAGACTCGGACCCCAGAGCCCATCCCAACCACAGGTTGCCTAGGACCAGCTGTGACTGGGGAACCTCAGGAAGAGACGTTGTCCCCTTCCCCGTCACCCCAGGCTGCATGGGCAGGGAGTGGGTTAGAGGGGAGGGGACAAGGCCCGTGTGGGGCCCACCCAGCCAACCCTGCCCAGCATCATGGAATGTCAGAGCCCCTCAAACTGCACCACCCAGCTCTGCCTAGCACCTGGGAGCACCAGGAAAGGGGCTCTAAGGGGAGAGCCAGGTGTCCTCTGCCCCATAGAGCCTGTGGGGGAGGGGATGGAAACTGACCACCAGCGGCCAGGGCAGGGTGGGAAAAGTGGCGGATCAGGGAGCCTCAGGGGCAGGGCCCCCCCAGAGCAAGACAGGGGAAGCAGGGGTGATCCTCAGGGGTGGGGTAAGCAGGGGAAAGGGGCTCGGGGATCCACAGAGGCGGGGGCTTCGTGGGTTCCCGAGGGCGGGGCTGGGAGAGCAGGGACGGGGGGGGCGGTGTTCGGGGTCCCCAGGGACGAGGCTGGGAAAGCGCGGGTCCTCAGGGGCCCCCCGGGGCGGGCTGCCCGCGGCAGGCGGGGCTGAGCCCACAGTGCGCGGCTGCGGGGGCGGACCTGCCCCGGCAGAACTCACCTCCTTGCGGACCGGCTTGGCCACCGCATGCCGGAACCGAGACGCCTTGAAGCGGTTCATGGTGCCGGCTCGGGGCTCTCAGCGCCTCTCCCTCCCGCGGACTCCCGCTGCCACCGCCGCGCCCTCCCCTAGCCGGCAGTCCCGCCCCCGCACCAGTCCCCGCCCCTACTCCGCATAGGCCACGCCCCTGTGCCAGGCCGCGCCCCTTCTTTCAACAGACCCCGCCACTGCATGGCCACACCCCTTCTTCCCACGGGCCCTGCCCCATCCTGGCCCCGCCCCTATTTACCATGGGTCCCGCCCCTGGCTGTGGCACAGGTGGTTGAGTGATGCTCAGGACACATCCCCCTGCCCCTTGGTTGGGTGTGTCCCAGGGTGCTGCCTGCTAACTCTGCCCAGTGCCATGCTACTAGCAGGACCAGGAGCCTACCTGAGTGAGGGTAGCCCCCAGCATAGCTCTGCTCTGACCTGAGCTGCAGGAGGGGACATACCCTGCATGGGGTCTTGGGCCCATGACTGCAATGGGGCTGTGACCCCTGGGAGCAAGTCCCGAGCACTGGGAGGCTGCAAGTGCTGGTCACTGCAGTGTCGAGGTTCCATGGTTTCCCTTCCCTGTCCCAGCCGGCAAGGGGCAAGAGGGTAGGGTGCCACCCGCCTGGGCATGGCCTGGTCAGCAGGGGTTCATTGTTTGCCCCTCAGGTTACTCCTGAGTTCCACTCCCTACATGACCAGACAACAGTAGACAAGGACTCCAGACTTCAGCCAACCAACACCAGACTGCTCGTTAATAAAACCAGTTCTCGCCATGCTCTGATTGTGGATGAGGCCTTGTATCGGGGGTGGGGGGGCTTGCCCAGGGGCTGGAGAGCCTGGGTCTAAGCCAGCACTATTGCAAGAGGAGACTCACCTGAGAGGAGTCAGCTGTTGCCAGTGTAAAAGGCAGCAGTAAGCACCAGGGCTGTGTGCGCAGATGGAGGTAGGTGAGGTGTCTGCTGAGTAGAATATGGGCTTTGTGCATGGCAGTTGCGTTGGAGGTGGGTATGAACTATGGGGCTAGTATGATGGACATTGTGTTTGTGACTTTAAGGTCTATTTTGAATTACTTTAGGCTATGAACCCCATTTCAGGTGAGAGCTGGTGATAACCTTGGGAGGCTGTATGCTGCTGCTGAAGAGAGGGAACCGAGCAAGGGCCCCGTGGAAATGTCTTTGGCCACGAGGGGGTGCCAGGCAAATGGCCACCCTGCTACAGGCCTCCTGTTGTACTTTTACTGACCCATGGCTGGATAGTTCCCTTGGTTGTGAATTAGTACAGCCTTAAGAAGCAACAAAGAGTCCCATGGCACCTTATAGACTAACAGATGTATTGGAGCATAAGCTTTCGTGGGTGAATACCCACTTCGTCAGACGCACGTATTCAC